GAGAGAGAGAGCGGGCACGGCCCGGGGAGAGCAGAGAGAGAGAGCGGGCACGGCCCGGGGAGAGCAGAGCGAGAGAGCGGGCACGGCCCGGTGAGAGACGGAGCGAGAGAGCGAGAGAGCGGGCACGGCCCGGTGAGAGACGGAGCGAGAGAGCGGGCACGGCCCGGTGAGAGACGGAGCGAGAGAGCGAGAGAGCGGGCACGGCTCGGGGAGAGCAGATCGAGGGAGCGGGCACGGCTCGGGGAGAGCAGATCGAGGGAGCGGGCACGGCCCGGCGAGGGAGCGGGCACGGCCCGGGCACGGCCGGCCGAGCCCCGGGCACGGGGAGCGGAGCCCCGGCCGCAGGCGGAGCCCGGCAGCGGCTCTGCGGCCGGCCCCGGAGCGCTCCGGCCGCAGGGCCCGGCCCGGCGCCGTGCCCCGGGGAGGAGCGGCCCGCGGGGCCAGGCGCTGCCGCGGAGCCGGGCGGGCCGGCAGCGGCTCGGCCGGGAGAGGAGCCGGCCCTGGGCCGGCAGCGGGAGCTGCGCCGTGTCCGCCGCTGGGGTGAGCGCAGCCGCTGGGAACCGCAGAAATGGGATATGCGAGGAAATCCCGCTCGTGTCGGTCACTGCGGCCCGTGCCGGGCACCTTCACCTAAATCCCGCTTCAGCTCTTCAACGCTCCCTGCGACGTGGCTGTGTCTGTCCAGGGAGGGCAACACGGGAAAGGCTGCTGGCTTTAGCCCACAGAAACGTGGTGTCCGGTCTGAAAGCTGGGTCTGCTATAGAGGGAAGCCTGTAGGGCACTGAGCATTTGAATTGTGAAATGAACTTCAGAGTTCCCTGGGGCAGTGCTGGTCGGCTTTCTGAGAGCTGTGCTGAGTTCAGTCATCCTTTGGGGCGCTTACAGAGCTTCCCAAAGCCTCGCTGCCCTGGGGCAGTCCCATGACAAGGGATGGGCCCAGCACAGGGCCCTGACCGAATGTGTGAATGGCTGGAAAGAGTGAAGGCTCATATTGAAATAAATGTCCTCTGTGTCAATTGCAGAAAGGATTCAGCTGCTGGATCTGACCGAGTGCTGGCCGTGAGGCTGGGGAGCAGGAGGGATGACTCCAGCCAGGGAAGATGTCTGCAGCCATGTCAAAGTGGTGGTCCGTGTCCGGCCAGAGAGCCAGAAAGAAAAGCAGGGCAGCTTCAGCAGGGTGGTGCGTGTCATTGACCAGCACGTGCTGGTCTTTGACCCAAAGGAGGAGGAGAGTGACCCACAGGCGCGCCTTTAACATGATTACACCTTGCACATTGACACCTGAAAGGACCATCCAATTCCTTTCTCCTAAACATCTCCAAAAAGGCAAGTCATGTAGGAGACAATCTACATGACATGTAGTTTATTTTAAGGCTGTGCTGGAAAAATAAAGCATTTTTTTTATACTAGGCAACAGCAGATTTTATAGCCATAGTGGTAGGGGAAACAGTACTGTCAAAGCAGAAATAACAAATGGACCATTTGATATTTCTTTGCTTTACTATGAATTCTTTACATTTCTGCAGCCTGATTGTCACAGCCTGGCTTCACATGTCTTCAAACGGACAGGAACCACATGAAATGTGAACTTGGTGTCTTCTACATGCTTTCAAAGCCTTTCTTATCTATCTCCTTTATATATGTATCTCACCCATCCATCTCCTTTTTTTCAGAGGAAAAAAATCATTTTTTCTATTCAGATTATAGAAGCCAACACTCTAAATTCAGAAATATAAGAGAAGCCATAACACAGAACTAAATAAATGCAGACAGATATCAAAGTACTTGAAAACTATAAGGTGATAAAATACTATACCTTTTTCATGATAATTACGTAAATAGTTAGAAAATGTAAAAATTAAAGTTGTAGTTCTCTTTGACCACATAGAAATCAGAATCGCATAATTTGTTGAGGTTTCCCAACTCTGAAAGTTGCCTTATTTTACAAGAAGAAGTTAGGAATTTACCACATGGAAATTACATTTGATGAAAATATAGACTGACTCCTAATTGCCTGTTGCAAGTGAGCACAATAAATTATTTTTGCACATTTCAATCTAAATACTACTGTACTTGTGTTACTTTAGATATAATTTATTATTATGTATTTTAATTCATTTTTCTAATAAAAATATTAGAAGGTATGGAAGACTTTTTTAGTAGTATTTATTTATTATAATGTAGTATTTGTTATATATTTTTATAGTTTAATTTATTTATAGTATTTATTTTTCTAATAAAAATAGAAAGTATGGAAGACTATTTTTTCATACTATTTTAGTAGTATTTTACTGTTGATATTTCTGGTTTGTGTCTAAGAATGGTCACATCACAATAATGGTCACAATAATGTTTTAAATAAATACTGAAGCAAATAAAATTTGCTTTATTTGTTTTATTTGCTAATTTGTTTTATCAAAGAATCTACTAGTTCCGTTAAGTTAACCTAAACTTGAAAGAACATTCCATTCTCTCTAAGTGAACAGTTTTAAGTACTCAGGAAGCTCCTAAAGATAAAAAGCTTTTATATTATATGAATAGTTTGCAACTAAACAATGTTGACTTTAATTTTTAGCCACCCAGATAATTTTTTTTTTCATTCTATAAATTGAAAGGACGAGGAAATGAAGTTTTCTAATATTTCTTTATACTGTTTCTGGTAGAAATAGAGAATTCTTACTACATCCTTCCTATTCCACAAGTCAAATATTCTTGTAGAACACAGTACATCTCCTATTGGGCAAATCAAATTACTTTTTTTCTATTGAAGTTGGAAAACCTCTCTACTTATGGTCTCTCATTATTATTATTATTGACTTTTTCACAAACATGATCCAAACCCTACAGATTCAGGTGCTGTCAAGCGCCTGCAGTTTGCACATGTCAGAGAGTGGGAGTGGATTTTACTCAAGAATACTGCAATGCAGCAGTTGGGACATGCTCCTGACAGTGGGAGTCTTGGATTTTTTTATCCTTGCTTTCATATTTTCTGCAAGGACTCTACACGTATGCAAAATGCATGCACAAACAGCAATGCACAGTACAGCCCACATTTATTTCCTTCCAGATTTGCTGGGATGCAACAGGCATCTTGTCATCTTTGATCCTTATGAGGATCTTTATGACTCTTTCTAAAAATAAAATCATTTTGTAATGTTGAAGAACCTTCTTCGGAAATATAGAATCTCTTAGCAATTTTATTTCTAAAAAGTAATAATAATATTAAAAATAGAATCCTTGTTTTTGAGGTAAGCATGGAAAGGATTGAAAAAGAGGATGAAGAGTGTTTCCCAAAGAACAGCATCACAGCAGTTTTAGAAAATAAACCCAGAAAGAAAACTGAAAAAAGCACAAGCAATGAGTTTAGACATGGGCATCTAAATTCTCATCTATATCCTAGACAGCTAGGCCCTTCACCAAATTTGCCTTAAATACCTGGATGATATGTGTAAAGTTTGAGTTCCCTGGGGCTGGGAGACAGGGCACAGGAAAACAAACAGAAATTGATTCCAGTGGCAGGGTCAGGAATCATCAGGGGCAGGGTAGACTGTGCCAAGGGCTTTCCTGATAAAACAAAAAACTACTGTATTCAAGCCAAAACATATGGAGCAAGGAAGAGGATGTGCTTTTTGCAAGCCAAGTGTAAAGAGGCACTGCTGAATTTAAGGAGCAGCAGTGGATGGGATAAGAACTGACTTTTCCTCTGATAATTTAACAAAACTTACTATAATCTTTCTTAGAGCAGAAGGGTTTATTGGAAGAACACAGTGCTTAGTGTTTTGTAATAATCATCTTTTTCCTATTCTGACCACGTTCTTGATGCTATTTTGGCATAAAGGAAGGTATAGCTTGTGTTCAAAATCTAATTTTTGGTGAACAGAGTTGTCTATCTCGTGACAGCAGCAGTCTTGGAACTGCCCAAACGAGAGTTTCTATCACTTATTCAACATCCTTAATTAGCTGCATTAGTGTCTGCAACCAGCACCACAGCACATGACTGAACCTGAAGGTAAGAGAGCATAGGTTTATTGCAGGAGTTTGGCTGCAAACAGCCACACTATCCTCTCCAATCTGCTTTCTGTTACATTTTATTGTGCTTCACCTTTCACCATATGGATTTTGCTGACATCCTAAGGAACACAGAATTCTGATTTGAGGTGTATGGTGAGGTAGCTTCATTGATGATTGGATATTTTGAAATTAAGGTGGTCTCAAAGATTTTCACAAAATTTAATGCATGTTATTTTTCTGGAATGCAGAAAATGAAAACAGCCTTTACCTGAAATACTTTCACGATCTCCGTGTTGTGTTGAAAATGTTCACTTTCTGAAAAAAAATCTAACAGTTGCTTTTCATTTTCAGTATATATAAATTAGCATATTAAAAAAAAAAAAAGATTATTTACATGAAATTTTGACTTCTTTAACTGCATATTGCTGTGATGCCCCTTGGGAAGGAATGTAAGTCCTGAGAAAACATCTGCCAACCACACACATCATAAAATCGCTGTACTGTTCATTTCACTTGCTGATGCAGAACCATGGAGGAGCAGCATGCCAGGGAAGTCACATCCCTTCTAGAAAGAACCACATGCATTTTTAAGTAATTGTGAGAAAGTTTGCAATTCAGTTTACCACTATTCACACTCAACACAGGATTGACCTGTTAAAGTTTTGC